TTTCACTCAAAATTGTTTCTGGGAAGGAAAAACTCTTCCTTCTTCTGCTCATTTTTAGGTATTCTATGCAGCAACAGAACTTTTAGGTGTGGCAATGATATTTGCTTTAGGAAACAAAATGCAAAATGTGATGGGACTGTGGACTGCCCAGATGGAAGCGACGAGGAAGGCTGCAGTGAGTAGAAACACGTTCCCCCTGATTCCTTGTACTTTCCTCCACAGTTGATTTGTTTTGCATTTGCATTCCCTTCTTGGTATAATCCCCTTGGCAGAAGTTGCCACAGGCCAGGGAGGAATAGTAAATATTAATTAACTGAATCTGAAATGGTTTCTCAGAATTAAAAATCCTAGAGTGGATTCTATCTTCTTTTTTGACAAGCATTAATGCACTGGATGTTTATAATGAAAACTTTTCACTGTCTAATAACTCTAATCAGATAAGTTCTTTAAAAAAAAACCTATGAAAAAAGAAATAAGTACTGGAATGCCGTTAATGATTATGTTAATTATGCTGTATGTTAAGATCTGTAGGTTGTCTTTTCATTTTGTTGATGGTATCCTTAGCTGTGCAAAAGCTTTTAAGTTTAATAAGGTCTCATTTGTTTATTTTTGCTTTTATTTCCATTACTCTAGGAGCTCGTCTGAAAAAAATATTGCAGTGATTTATATCAAAGAGTGTTCTGCTTATGTTTTCCTCTAGGAGTTTTATAGTATCTGGTCTTACATTTAGAACTTTAATCCATTTTGAGTTTATTTTTGTTTCTGGTGTTAGAGAATGCTCTAATTTCATTCTTTTACAAGTAGCTGTCCAGTTTTCCCGGCAACATTTATTGAAGAGACTGTCTTTTCTCCATTGTATATTCTTGCCTCCTTTATTATAGATTAATTGACCACAAGTGTGTGAGTTTATTTCTGGACTTTCTATCCTATTCTGTTGATCTATGTGTCTGTTTTTGTGCCAGTACCATACTGTTTTGATTACTGTAGTTTTGTAGTATGGCCTAAAGTCAGGGAGCATGATTCCCCAGCTCCATTCTTCTTTCTCAAGAATGTTTTGTTTATTCAGAGTCTTTTGTTTTTCCATACAAATTTTAACATTTTTTTGCTCCAATTCTGTGAAAAATGTTTTTGGGTTTCTGATAGGCATTGCACTGAATCTGCATATTGCCTTGGGTAGTATGGCCATTTTAACAATATTGATTTTTCCAACCCAAGAACATGACATTTCTTTCCATCTGCTTGTGTCATCTTCAGTGTCTTGTAGTTTTTGGAGTACAGATCCTTTGCCTCCTAGTAGATTTATTCCTAGGTATTTTATTCTTTTTGAGTGATTGTAAATAGGATTGTTTCCTTAATTTCCTTTTTCTGCTATTTTGTTGATAGTGAATAAAAGTGCAACTGATTTATGTACATTAATTTTGTATCCCACAACTTAACCAAATTCATTGATGAGCTCTAGTACTTTTCTGGTAGCATCTTTAGGATTTTCTCCGTATAGTATCATGTCATCTGCAACCAGTTTTACTTCTTCTTTTTTCATTTGGATTCCTTTTATTTATTTTTATTTTCTAATTGCTGTGGCTAGGACTTCCAAAATTATGTTGAATAAAAGTGGAAAGAGTGGGTGTCATCGTCTTTTTCCAGATCTTAGAAGAGATGCTTTCAGCTTTTCACCATTGAGTATGATGTTAGCTATGGGTTTGTCATATGTGGGCTTTATTATTTTAAGATATGTTCCCTCTATACACTCTTTCTGAAAAATTTTTATCATAAATGGATGCTGAATTTTATCAAAAGCATCTTCTGCATCTATTTAGATGATCATATGGTTTTTATTCTTCAGTTTGTTGACGCAGTGTATCACACTGATTGATTTGTGAATACTGAATCATCCTTGCCTGTCTGAGATAAATCCCACTTGGTCATGCTGAATGATTCCTTTAATGCTTTGTTGGAGTCAATTTGCTAGTATTTTGTTGAGAATTTTTGCATATATATTAATAAGTGATATGGACCTGTAATTTTCTTTTCTTTTTTGTGATATCTTTGTCTGGTTTTGGACTTAGAGTGATGGTAGCCTCTTTTACCCAAAAGAAAACAGTCTTTTCAAGCAACATGTGTAAAATACCCCAAAACTGAATTTAGTACACAAAAAATGACGTTGAACACTGTCCATAATGCAATAAAATTAGAAGTTTACATAATTCTTTTCACTCTTTAATCATATCAGAAATCATAGCAAGAACTATGAGTTACTATGAATGACAATGAGAAATCTGTAGAAAATCTGTAGAAACTGATAAAGCAGTTCTCAGAGGGAAATATTTAATCCTAACTTAATTTATTAAGAAATAAGAAAGGTTAAAAATGAGTACACACATATATCCAAAATTCCCATCCCCGCCAAAAAAATAACAGTTAATAAAGTTAAAAGCGCAAATTAATAAAACGGTACACAAAATGTAGAGTTAATCAAAAACACCAAAATCTGTTTTTTCTAATGCTAATGATACAGATAAAATGGCTAGAGTAATCAGGGAAAACGAAGGCAGCCCAACAACATCCTCTCAACAACCCTGAACATCAGGAATGACGAGATGGGCACAGCGACACGTACAAATCAGGAGCCCCGAGTGGTGCATACGTCCTGTTTCAGTGAGGGGTACTCTCAGTGGATGTGCATAGTTCCAGGGCAATGCCCGTTGTTAGGACCAGCGTTTCCTAAACATTGGTTGAGATGTTGCAGAGCAGAGATGTGAAGAAATTGCTGCTTTTAGAATGGAGAGGAGAAAAGGGTATCAAAGCTAGAGTTTTAACATCTTGGGTGATTTTCCTCTTTGACTATGGAAGAAATAATTTAGTGGAAAGTCT